TTCGGTGTTTCAGGAAAGTGGTTTCGCGAAAGAGGCCACGGAAGTTCTACAGGGTGTTTTCTAGAAAACGCGGAAGCTACTTTAGGATTAAGCTGCGGGACCGTTGGGCCCGCGTCGAGGTGAGTAGGAAACTTCTTTTGAGTCGTGAGGTGAAAGGTTTAGGGCAGCGCGTTTGTGAGCATGTCTGTGAGAACTTAAAGTGCGCATGTTGCGGCATGTTTGGCATGCTTTGTGCCGGAGATGATGAACCGGCCCCGGCAAAGAAGACGGAACAAGTTGAGCACGTGCTCCGAGCCGTGCGCTTTAGAGGTTTACCGTCGCCGGGGACCGGTACACGTTCTGATCCGTTTGACTTAGACCCCGAACCTTCCTCGAGACCTGCTCCCGAAACTTCCTTAAAACCTGAAGCTTCTAGTCGTAATCCTTTAGATCCTGAAGGAATCTTTGATGAGGACCCTGAACCGTTAGGGTCTGCCCCTGGCTCTTCCAAGAAACCTCGAAAAGAAAAGGGTCCAACACCACCTGACGACCCGGTTGGACCTGAGGACGAGGAGGACCTGAGGGTTCCTCTTTCTTCTGTTTCGTTGTATAATCATCGGAGCCGAGGGCATTTTCCGTTTGATTCCAATTGTGAAGCGTGTTGTTCTTCGAAAGGGCGCGTTCCGGCGCGTCGCTTGAGGAGGAAGCTGCAGAGAGAGAACCAGACCATAGGTCTTGATTTCTTCTATTTCGGAAAACTGAGGGTACTCTTGATGATGCACCTCGGTTCTAAGTATACTGTCTCTCTTCCTGCGATGCATCTCGATGACCCTGACCTGCTCCACAATATCAACCGTGTGATTCGCGAAATGGGATTAGTCGGTAAAGCGGTTACATTTCGGATGGACCAAGAAGCGGCTCTTGGAGCCCTTGCCGAGAAACTCACCAAGTGCGATAGCAGCCCTGCCAGCGCAACTTTGATTGACGTGGTTCCGGGCTACAGGCCCCAGTCGAAGGGATCGATTGAGCGGCAGGTTGAAACTATGAAGCAGGGTTTCTGGTCTGTTTGGTTGGACCTGGAGAAAGAGGTTGCTAAGGTGAAGCAGGAAACGGAAGCCGTTGAGCTTGGGAAGTATCAGTTACCTTTGGGAGGTTTGCTTTGACAAGCCTGTGTTTTCTATGTTGCTAGGTGCTATAACCTCTGGTGTACCAGCGTCGGGGATTCGAGCACTAGCATAGATCGACTGCATGAGGAGATTGTGAACCGGACTCGGACGAGACCGTCCGGGTGTCTGGTTCAAGCCCAGGTCAGTAAGTCCAAGGCGCACCATGATAAGTTCAGGGGCGCCCGGACCGTGAAAGCGGTTTATCTGCACGCCAAAGGTGGTGGCATCTTTGCCGTCCCTATCGGAAGCAAGGAAATAGATATATTCCCCGTCGCCAGGATGATTCAGGGAGGTGACATCTACGATGCCAAGACCCTGGAAGAGCTATCTTTAGCTAAGCCTCTTCTGCAGGACACTGAGGACCCCGAGAGGCCCATACTGTTCGATCCGTTGGAGGCTCCTGGTGATGATGCTCCTGATGAGGGGGCTGGTGTGGGAATGGATGAAGATGGTGATGAAGAGATGATTGAAGATGAGCTTGCTGACTATTCGCCGTCGGAAGCGCCTGAGAACCAGGAGGTTGTGAACGATGAGGGGGATATGGAAATAGACTGGCTCACGAATCACTATCTTGAGTCCCTGTTTCGAGGGCCTGACCTGCGAGCCACCTCCACTGCAGTTGCAAAGTCGTTTGATTTGAAGTCTGGGGGTACGAAGATAAGGTGTGCTGTTCCTCAGAACGCTGTGTCTGAGACTTCGGGAGAGAAGCTAGAACCCGATCTTCTTTACGCATCAATGAATCTTGAGTTGGAAGAGTTGGAATCCTTCAAGGTTGGGGAAGTGATCCCTGAGCGCGAAGCTCGCCGTCTTGCTAACGAAAACGGCAGGCGAGTTTTGACTAGCAGGTGGGTCAACACGGTCAAGAAGAAGGGACTGTATAGATCTAGGCTAGTCGTGCGGGATTATGCCTCTATGGGAGGCACCACCTTGAGTGAGGGAATCTACTCTCCTACTACTTCAGTGGAGGGTCTGAGATTGCTTCTGTCAATGCTCTGCCGACGTGGCAGTGTGTTGTCCTGCGATGTCTCGGTAGCGTTCATGCATGCTCCCGTAGCGAGGGCAGAATTCGTAGAGTTGCCGAATAATGTGAGCACCCAGGTGACTGGGGAACGAGTTTTCGTCAAATTGCGTAAAGCGATGAACGGATTGCGGTCTGGTCCATTATCTTGGTATTGCGAGTTGGCTGAATACTTGCGCTCTCAGAACTTCGAAGCAAGTTTGGACCCCACTATATTCCGTCGTCTTACGAGGAAGGGTTTGACGATTGTGTTGTTTTATGTGGATGACTTGCTGATCTATAGTGAAGATGAAGCTGAAGGGCGCCGGTTCTACGAGGAGTTGCGTAAAAGATACAAACTGAAACTTACGGGCGAGTTGATTCAAGATTGCCCCGGGGAAGACGAACAGTACCTGAGTTCCTGTTGCGAGGAGTACGGAATCACCAAACCTGCACCAAAGCTCCCTTCCCGTGAACGCCGCTATGCTGAGTTGCTGAAGAAAGGCCAGACTGAGCTGATCAGTCCAGCTGCTCACGAAAGGTACAGAAGGACTCTGGGCCGTTTGGCCTGGGCGGCTCTGTCACGACCAGACCTGCAGTTTGTGTGTGGGTTTCTGGGCCGCCACCAAGCAGCTCCTGACGAGGCTGCCGAGACCTGTATGAGGGATGTCCTTCGTTGGGTCAAGGGTCTTCCGCACAAGGTCCAGAGGTTTCCGAGCAAAAGGGAGATCTTGGAAGATGATGCGGGCCCTGCCTCTGTATCTTGTTTTACGGACGCGAGCTGGAGTCTGAATTCGGTAAGCGGCGGGATCATTACGTGGGAGAACTGTTCCCTGAAAAGCTTCAGCAGGAAACAAACGACTACCGCACTCTCAAGTGCGGAAGCAGAACTCGCTGCACTCACAGAGGTTGCTCGTGAAGGGTTGTACATTGCTTTGCTTGTGGAGACCATCCGCGAGGGTATGCCGAAAGACAGGGAAACCGGTTATTATGTTCTTAAGGGATATTCTGATTCCGAATCGGCGGTTTGTATATCGAAGATGCAGACCCTCCTGAGGAAAGTGAGGCACATCGAACTGCGTGCCGCATTCCTTCAGGAGCTGGTGGCCAGGGGTCGTTTTACTATAGAACACATACCGGGAGTGATAAACCCTGCGGACGCCCTCACGAAGAGTCCCACCAACGAAAGTTTGGCTAGTTTGTACGATGCCTCTGGCCTTGTGGATGAACCGAAGGCCTGGGAGAGTGAGCCTACTGAGGTGCACGTGTCTTTTGAAGAGCCCAATGAAAACGAACGTTTTACTCCGTCTGTTCCGCCTTCCTGGAAAGCCGCTGCTTTGAAGCTAGCTCGTGGTGAAGCTAAGTACGTAGTGGTTGAACTGTGTTGTGAAGAAGGAAGTGCGTTGTCCAAAGCCTGCTCGAAGGTCCCCGAGATCGCCTACTTTGGGGTGACTAAGGAAGTTGATCTTCTGAGCTATAATGGCTTGTGTCTTCTGAGAGAGGTTTTCGGAGTCGTAGCTGAAGGTGAGGTCAAGGTGTATGCTCACTTGTCTACTCCGTGCTCTGCTGGGTGTGGTTTAAGGCACCTGAGGTTTAAGAAGGGAGGAAAGGCCCTGGAGAAGTGGAGAGCGGCTCTGGCCGTTCACAAGAGGTCCTGGAAAAGGATCGAGAAGCTGTTGGAGCCTTACGTGGGCTCCCCGAACCTTCTGCTTTCTCACGAGTGGCCTGAGAGGTCAGGACTGTGGGATGAGACTGTGTTTAAGAGGGTTTCTAAGAAGCTTCGTTTGGATCAGGGTTGCCTTGTGGATCGTTGTTGCTTTGAAAAGGGTGACCAACGACCTTGGAAAAGATGGTGGTTTGTGTCCAACCGCACAGAGTTTGCGTGGGGACTTTCTTCTCAGTGCTCTGAGGGACACGGCCACTACTACCTTCCTCTTCCTGAGTCAGGTGTGTATCCAGCGGGTTTAGGATTCGCTCTCCTGAAGAACGCGAAGAAGACTTTTGAGGAGAAGTGAAGAGGACTCTCGGGCATGAGGGGGTGTGAAAAGTTTGCTCTGGCTCAAGGTCTGGCTCGAGTGACCGCAGTGGTCGGAGAAGTAGTTGTCTGCAAACAGTCCTGGGCTCTAACTGTGTGCTGAAGAGACCCCAAACAGGTGAATCCCAGGCTTTGTAGCTGTGCTTCTTCGGGCCATCACTCTCACTTGCCTGTTCCCACCGGTAAGGGTTCAGCCCTCGGGGGACCAATCCACCTCACGAAGGGGATACGTCCACCCAAGGGACTTGCCAGCTCCCACCGGAAAGGGCTCGGCCCTCGGGGGAACTGTCCACCGCGCCAAGGGGGTACGTCCCCCTGTGGTGGGTGGTAGAGCAACGCCAGACGCGGACCCACCCTACGAGGGGGGACATTGTGGCTCAAGTTTGGGGTGCTCGCCC